GGAGTGACTACATGGCTTTGAGTGCAAGGGCAAAGGGTTTGAGTGCCCAGTTAGTGTCTCCTTGATCTTGCTAGTGAGGGGGGTAAGGCTCTGGTTGTAGCAGACACATCTAGGAAGGCAGTCTGTAGCTCTGTTGGTGGTGTTGCTGGCAGGGCAGGGTTTTGATCTCGATGGACATGGGACATGCTCTGAGGAGCAAGGACTGTTAAGCAAGAATGGCATTCATCTGACAAAGTGAGGCAAGGTCTCTTCTCTCTGGCTGTACAACCTTGTGAGGGGGGGTTTAAGTTATATTTGTTGTGGAAGGGTCTTCATTCTCTGAAGAGTGAGCAAAAAGATGGAAGAGGCTCTTGTGCTCACCTCGTGAAAGCAGCATGACTGGGAGCCCATCTCAAGTGCCTGTGCCCAAACACAAGCAGCATGGGGAGCAAAAAGGTGGCATTAGACATCCCCGTGCTGCCATTGTGCTTGGACCTCCTGTGGGATTTCACACACACTTGTGTGTAAGGGCTCTCAGGATGAGAGTTCTGCAGGAGGTAGACACAGGCTCTTCAGAAAGGCTGGACTGGGAAGCTGAGGAGCGGGATCTGCACTCTATGTAAAGAGGTGACAGCAGTGAGTGGGCACTTCCCTTTGAACAGAGCAAGGTGGCCCAGAGAATGAGAGTCAGGAGCAGAAGACAGATGAGCAGGTTTGGTGCTATGTCTGCTGCACACTGTCAGGTCAAGAAGTGAAAGCAGAGGAAACCTTTAGACAGCTAGATGAAATTTTGAAATGGTAAGCTTTGTTATTTATGGAGGACTTGAACCAACTCAAAATCCATTAGAAGAGGAATAGGTCTGAGCACAAGCAATGTAGGAAATTTTTGGAGTGTGCTGAGGACAGTTTCTTAACGCAGGTGATCAATGAGCTGACAAGGTAGGAATACTCTGCTGGAGCTTTTACTCACAAATGAGGAATAACTGGTTGAAGGTCTAAAGGCTGAAGCATCCCTGGAGAAAGTGATCCTGATATGCTGGAGTTCAAAACACTGAGAGGGGTGGGAAAGACAAATAAGTGGACTCATACTTCAGGAGAGTAGATTTTGGCTTCTTCACAGTTCATTTTGGCAGGCTCCAATGAGAAACTAGCCTATAGGGTAAATAGGTACAAGAAGCTGGTTAAGATTCACTCTTCTCAAAGCACCAGAATAGTTAATTTGTTCAAATGCAGAAAAATATATCAACAGAAGTTGGAAGCAGTCACAGGATGCCCTCGAGGGATATTGAGGCATTCATTACCTGCACCTGAAGGGATGGAAATGAGAAAGACTCCAAGTCTTCTTCACTCCAGTCATGGGAGAGCCTTGATGACTAGAAAAAGGCAAATATTGCACCCAGCATCCAGAAGGACAAGGAAGATCCAGGGAACTACAGACCAATCAGCCTCAATACATGGGGAGGTTGTGGAGAAAGTCCTTTTGGAAGTCTTTTCTTGGCACAAAAAAGGACAATAAGGTCGTGATTGGGAACAGCCAAATTTATGCCCTTTACCAAAGATGGATTTTATCTGACCGACGTGATTGAGTTCTGTAATGAGATGACTGGCTCAATGATGAAGGGATATTGTCTTCCTTAATTGTAAGAAAGTCTTTGACATGTTCTCCTGCACTGTCATCAGAGCCAAACTGATGAGATACAGACTGCTTAAGCGGATGATAAGGTACATGGAATATTGACTGTATCTTAGGGCTCAGAAGGTGGACATTAGAGTCACAAAATTGAATTAGCAACCAGTTAACACTGCATACCCTCTAGGGATTGCTATCGAGGCCAGCAGAAGACTACCAGGATGTCAGGGATAGAGCATGGGACATCTGAGGAGAGGCTAGGGAAGCTGCATCTATTCAACTTTTCAGAAGAGACAGCTTTGGGGGTATCTTGTTGCAGTGTACAGTTGATTGTTCAGGATTTCCACATGGATGCAAAGTGTAAGAAGAATGAGAGGCAGGAAAGCTGGAAGATCAGCTTCTTAATTCAAATCAGAATTAAGAAAAAAAAAAAAAAGAAATGTCATGAGGGTGTTCAGACACTGGCACAGGCTTCCTGGAGAGGTTGTGGGATTGCTATCCTTGGAGACACTCAAAACTTGTCTGGTGAATGACCTGAACAATCAGCTGTAACTCAAATTACTTTGAGCAGGAGGTTGGACTAGAAGACCTACAAAGGTTTCTTCAAACCTGTATGAATCATTATGTCAGTTTTGTTTTACAGTTTATTCTGATACATTAGGGTTAGCCATGGCCTGATGTCTGAATTCAGAATTAGTTTTGGGAAGTCCTGTGGTCTCTGCCATGCAAGAGGTCTGTCTGAGTATCTTCAGTGTTGTCTTCTACCTTATATATTGTCATTCCATATGGAGTCTGGATGTTATTTGGTATGACAATCCTTGAATTAATTTACAGTTAATAATAGCAATAATTTACCTCTGATTTGCCCTTAGAAACATGAACTGATGTGACTATTTCTTTTGTAATGTATACCAAATATTAGTAAATCATTCTAATCAAAAGGAATTGTTGACATTTAATTGTTTAAGTATCAGTCACTGGTTTACATTTACACTAAATCTTTCATTTTAAGTGGCCATGAAGCTTTAAAACCTGTCCAGTAAATAAGTGTCACTGGGTACCTGAATGGCACAGACTTAGATTGCAGTGGAGGAGGTGTGTGGTTAAAAGCTGTCTCTTACTTCCCTTAGTGGCAGAACTATTCTTCTTGGAGAGGTGATGTGTATCATGCTTCCAGGAGAAGGTTTAGCTATATTGCTTCCATCCAATCTTGGTGCTGGATACAGAAAAAATGTGGAAATGTTTTCCTGCTCATTCTCTCTCTTGTGGGCAATGCATTGTCAGTAATGGAAGAAGTAATACACCAAACTGCTCTGGTAAGCAGCTGTAAGCAGGTGTCTTGTCTCTTCTCGCTGTTTTGTTTACCCATGGCCCTGGTTACAGAATTACATCTACAACAAAATGACATTCACCAATGATGAAAAATGGCAAACTGAAAAGGTGAGGATAGTGGCTTTTTAACTGTGCACAGCAACATGCCATAATAATTTATGGCAGAGACAAAAAAAGATTTGTGACTCCTTGGATAAGTTTTCATACTGGCTCTGAGCATATTACATAAAGCTCTGTTTATGACCCATGTTTTAATATTAAATCCTTATTTTGTCCCTACTTTATTTCCAAGATTTGATTGGAGTTGCCAGTAAAAAGAGGTGTGAGTTCCTGGGATTGTATGTAATTTTCAGACAACCACTAGGCAGTCGATTTGGCTTTCAGAAGAGAAAGTTAACACGGACTAGAAGATTGCTTGTATGGTCAAATCCTGAGGTACTCAAAGCCATTTTTTCCTGGGTAAGGAGTGCAGCATCTGTGTGTCAGGCATGAGAAAGGCAAAAACAATCCATTGCTTAGGTGCTGTAAGCTGTAAACTTCCCGAGAAAACAAAAATCTGCTTTCCTTCCTCTGTACTGTCATACCAAGCATTGCTACCTTCCATATTGTCTTCCATATTGCCGTAAAAGCTCTTTGGCAGAACCAGAAGGGAGATTTAATTTAGCAATCAAACATTTCTATTATTCCCTATTTCATGTCAGAGGAGTCGCTGGTGGAGTTCTAATGTTTTGTGTGTAGGGAGTGGGGCTGAGGGAGATACTGTATGGAGATGGGAGATGGCAGCTCGCTGGACTTCTTTGCTTAAAGCTATTTTGATTTGCTTTGTTGCTGGTGTGGGAAAATACATATTTTCTCTGTGTGAAGAGTGGATTTTTCTGTGCTGAGCGCAAGAAAGCTTTTGAATCACTGTGAGAACGTGCCATGAAATACATGTGTAGCCCATTAGACCTAAGGACTTCAACACCTGCTGGACCACTGAGAAGAGGAAGATTTTTTTGATGTATGATGGTTTAATTCCTGTGGTGCTTCCATTGTGTTTTACAAGAGAACATATAACTTTAAAGCCTTTTGGCACAGGTAACTGAGCTCCCACAGAGAAGTAAAGTAATTATCTGAAACAGAGTTAACAAGAAAAACCTCTTTCAAGGTTTGCATCTATTTTGAACTTATTTTTGTTCATAGAATCATAGAATAGCTTGGGTTGGAAGGGACCTTTAAAGGTCATCTAGTCCAGCCTCCCTGGAAGGAGCAGGGACGTCTTCAGATGTATCAGGTTCCTCAGAGCCCCATCCAACTTGACCTTGACTGTTTCCAGGACAGGTCACCTACCACCTCTTTGATCTCTCATGAATTAACACAAAATAATGATACCCTCAGCAACAGTAGTAATTCAGAAAATAAACTTATGTATGCACCTAAGTATTTTGGGGAACACTGTAGTTGTATTAATAATGCAAATAAAAACATTAATGCTCATATGTAGTTTGGTGAACATCTATTAAAATGAAATAGCATAGAAATGCTTGAAGCATGTCATGATTTTCTTTTGATGAACTTGACTTTCCTGATAATTTGAAAGATGACTGAAGAGTCATAGCTTGTCAGGAAAGTAAGCCAAAATAAATTGCATCTTTTAATATTCTTTATTATAAAATGCCCCAGGGAGCATTTAGAGTTTAAAAACTCAATGTCTTTTCCTGGTGATACTTTCATCACAAAATAATACCATTTTCTTGCAGACTATTTCAAATTATTTTCAATTAGTGAGATAATTGGTTGGTGATAGTTTTTGAGAGATGATAGTGAAGTGGTTCCTTTGTTATGTGCAGCTAGTCATAAACAGTATTAATTATGTCACATTGTAAAATTCATTCCTGTTTAAATGAAGTAACATACAAGGAATGAATAATAATATTTCATATCCATTGTTGTGTTGGGTGTATGGCAGATAGAAGACCAAGAGGAGTAAAACTAGAGAAAAATAGTGTGTTAAAAGATCTGTTGATTTAACTGTGCTATACTCCCTAATCTCACAATACTTTAAATTATTCTTCCCTAGCCTCAGACTATTCGGCAAACTCTTCAAAAGACACTGCAGTATTTTGAGCATCAAGTTATTGGGTAAGTGCTAATGTGAGATAGTAAAAGGTGCATGGTAATATTTTGCTCTGTGTCTCCCAAGTCACAGCCTTGCATGATAAGCTTTTTAATTTTATTTTTTTCTCTCAAATTCTTAGAGGTGCTTTGAAGTAGCAATACATACTCTGGACATTAATGGTAAACAGCTGTTCGGACCTGCTTCTGTACAATCCCGTCAGAAGGTGACTGCTTAATGAACTGAAATATTTCTTATACAAGGAGAATAGGCAATCCTTTTTCAATCAGAGTAATAGAATACCAGATTGGAAAGGGACCTTAAGGATCCAACCTTTCTTGGTAAAAGCATAGTCTAGACAAGATAGCCCAGTCCTCTGTCCAGCTGAATCTTAAAAGTGTCCATCATTGAGAGGTTTTAATCCTTTGTCACCACTTCTGAAAGACATTTGTTGACTTTGCATTTGTATAAGGAGATGCTATAACTTTATTACTTTTTTTTTTTTTTTTCTGTAGCTACAGAGATGCAGAGAAGAATTTTCACAATATATCAAACAGATGCTCCTATACAGACTGCTCTGGCAATGAAGAAACTGAGGATGTCTCAGGAATTCTCCAGTGTACGGCTAATGTACTTGGTATGTAGTTTTTCAAGGGAATTTGTTTCCTTTCATTGAAAGGAAGGTTTACTGACTGTCATTATGGCAACAATGAAAAAAGAAATTTTTTGTCTGACAAAGGAAATTTAAGATGTGGGCAGCTTACGTACCAGTGCACTGTTACTACATTTTATCCTTTTCCACATACATTTTGAACCTTTGAGACAATCCAGATGGTTTTCAGTGGAGCCAGTGAAGGTGTATTGTCCAATATCTAGTGATTAGAGAAGTTTCAAAGGCTTTCAGTGCAAATAGCCTTGGAATTAAGAGAAATAAGTGTTTTTATAGGAGCTCTGCAGAACAACAGATAGTTTTATCATCTGTGGGCCTGGGGGAGAGAGGGCCTGAGAAACACAGAGCAGGATGTACCTGAGACATAAAACATTCTGGAATCTTAGAGAGATTTTTGTCAGCAAGAAGCACAACACTGAAATCTGGCCATGTATGATAATTTAGGATATACTTTAACTTCCATGTCAGGGAATACGGTGAGGAGATACTCTGCTCACATTCTGGTCTGGGCCATTGTATCCTGCTGACTTAAAATCCTTTTGGAGGTATATGCATGGCATATCTGTCTATTCTGTCACAAACTATTAAACAGACTTGGTACACTCTGTGAAACAGCAAATGTCCTAACTGACTGTTTCACTGGCATTCAAAATTCTTTTTTTTTTTTTTTTTTTTTTTTTTTTTTTTTTTT